GTTGTAAGTTTCTCTCTCCTATGTGTTTGTTATTTGTGTATTGTTCCAGTGACGGTGTTCTGCCTTTTCATTCTTTATCCACTTACAAGGAAATCACTACCGCCTCCTAGACATAAAATATTACACCGGTGGGTAAAGTACAGGCAATTCCACTGATTGGAAAGGCATTTTTGGCTCACAGTGGAGAGAATAAAGAGGAAAATTGGCGATATTAAGTGTAGAAAGGCAGTTCCGGAATGGAAAAACGATATTCTGAAGGAGGTCCTGGGTTGTCGGTGTGAAATTTGCTATTATAAGAGTATATAGGAGACTTTCGTTTTATACCATAGATAATGCCGGGGATTGGTAAGTGGATTAGGATCATCCGGTCAAAACAAGGCCGGATAGAGCAACACATCAGAATCACAACAAGGGACAACACATGAAACGCATGACAGCAGGGGGAACACATGACAGCACATGACAATATATAACAACACATAGCAGCACGTAACACATGACAACACATGACAGCACATGACAACACATGACAACAGAGAGAGGGGCCACACCCAGAGACCATTAATGACCTGCCTTACCATGAGAACATCGGCTTTAATGGCGACCTGACACACCTGAAGGCTCCCCCACCTCATCCCCCACCCCAGCATCATCCACCACCCCAGCATCATCCACCACCCCAGCATCATCCACCACCCCCAGCATCATCCACCACCCAGCTCATCATCCCCCACCCCCAGCATCATCCACCACCCCACCTCATCCCCACCCCAGCATCATCCACCACCCCCCAACATCATCCACCACCCCACACATCATCCACCACCCCAGCATCATCCACCACCCCAACATCATCCACCACCCCAGCGTCATCCACCACCCCAACATCATCCCCCACCCCAGCATCATCCACCACCCCAGCATCATCCACCACCCCAACATCATCCACCACCCCAGCATCATCCACCACCCCAGCATCATCCCCCACCCCAGCATCATCCCCCACCCCAGCATCATCCACCACCCCAGCATCATCCACCACCCCAGCATCATCCACCACCCCAGCATCATCCCCCACCCCAGCATCATCCACCACCCCAGCATCATCCACCACCCCAGCATCATCCACCACCCCAGCATCATCACCCACCCCAGCATCATCCACCACCCCAGCATCATCCACCACCCCAGCATCATCCACCACCCCAGCATCATCACCCACCCCAGCATCATCCACCACCCCAGCATCATCACCACCCCTGCATCATCCCCCACCCCAGCATCATCATCATCCGTGCATCATCACTCACCCCTGCATCATCACCCACCCCAGCATCATCCCCACCCAGCATCATCCCCCACCCCAGCATCATCACCCACCCCAGCATCATCCACCACCCCAGCATCATCCACCAACCCCGAATCATCCCCATCCCCTGCATCATCACTCACCCCTGCATCATCACCCACCTCCTCATCATCACTCACCCCTGCATCATCACCCACCTCCGCATCATCACCACCCCTGCATCATCCCCCACCCCCGCATCATCACCATCCCTGCATCATCACCCACCCCCGCATCATCACCCACCTCCGCATCATCACCACCCCTGCATCATCACCCACCCCCGCATCAGCACCATCCCTGCATCATCACTCACCCCTGCATCATCACCCACCCCCTCATCATCACCACCCCTGCATCATCCACCACCCCCGCATCATCACCATCCCTGCATCATCACCCACCCCCGCATCATCACCCACCTCCGCATCATCATCACCCCTGCATCATCCCCCACCCCCGCATCATCACCATCCCTGCATCATCACCCACCCCCGCATCATCCCGCACCCGCATCACCCCCACCCCCGAATTCTATCCCCCCACCCCGAGCATTATCCCCACCCCAGCATCATCCCCACCCCTGCATCATCCCCCACCCCCGAATCATCCTCCACCCCAGCATCATCCCCCACCCCTGCATTATCACCAACCCCCTCATCATCCCCCACCCCTGCATCATCCCCACCCCTGCATCATCCCCCACCCCCGAATCATCCTCCACCCCAGCATCATCCCCCACCCCTGCATCATCACCAACCCCCTCATCATCCCCCACCTCTGCATCATCCCCCACCCCTGCATCATCCCCCACTCCAGCATCATCCCCCACCCCTACATCAATCCCACCCCCACCACAACCCCACCACAACCCCACCCCTACATCAACCCCCAGCCCCGCTAGAACCCCTACCTAAAACCCACATCAACCCCTACCTACACCCCACATCAACCCCTACCCACACTTCCACCGCACTTCAATCCCCCCTCCCTACCCACCTACCACCAACCCACAAACCTCTGTATTATTTCATATACACAGCAATGACCCCCCCCTTCCACATCCTCTATTCCCCTCCCTCTCCTCCCTCCCCCTCCCTCTCTATCCCCCTCCCCAACACTACAAATAAACACTTCAGTCACTGTTATATT